ATCATCAGGAGTCTTTGTGATGGGCTTGATAAAAGCCCTTTGAAAGTCCAAGTAGTATGTATGTATGTATGTATGTATGTATGTATGTATGTATGTGATTTCTCCCCTGCCCAACTTCCCCACAATAGAGGACTCTGGGCGACTATATTTACTATATTCCCTCTAGCAACACACACTGACACACACAAAAATGAATGAGAGAGCAAGCTCCCTTTGGTACAAGTCATTCAGTTTTCTCTTCAGTGTGATTTGTTCTTCTCTACGTTTAAGAATTCTCTCTGGCCTATGACTGCTTCTATTCAAAGAAAAAGGGAATAATCAATTAAAAAAAAAAACCAAGGTAATTCTCTTTTGCAAGACAACGGTCATTTTGGAAAAACATCAGAGAGAAAATGCAGAGGAAGCTAATGATAAAGCAGGATGCCAATGGTTCAAACTGTTGCACATCTGGAGAGTGAAGCCATCATGCCCCAAGAAAAATTCTGGAAATTCACTTTACCAGTATCATTTTGTTCACCTTTGGATCTGATCTCATTAGTGTTGCTGATGCCTCCACCCACCCCACGCCAATTGCTTCATTTCTTCATTCATCAATGATGTTATAAATATACCATAGGCTGCTGGGTTCTCAGGACCACACGCTGAATTACAGATGAGTCAGGGAGAGAGCGAACTTAATCACTGGATAATCGCTGGCAGGCACCTCGTTTGCAGCACACACATGCCCACAACGTTGGTGGAGGTACAGCATGACAAGATGTAATGTTTCTGAACTGGATGACCCATGTGAAAGATCAGTTATTCAAATGATGTTGCAGAAGCTGGGAAAAACTTCACACAATGCCAAGGGACTTTGCGTTGTAGGCTCAGGAGGGCGTTAACAGAAAAGCCTCAGCAGATGGCAGCATTGGGTTGACCTTGCCTGTGCTAAGCAGGGTCAGCCTGGGATACTATTCAGATGAGAGATCACAAGCAAATCCCAGGGCTGTAGGCTGGACTGGGTACTAAAAAACATCCCAAATGAAGATGACATATCGTACCCAAGAAAATTATACGGAGTCACCAAGAGTCAATCTCAACTTAAGAGCATCTTTCTCTTAGCAAAAGAAAGTCATTTTGATTATTAAAATGGAGTACGTGCAATGAAATCAAATGAAAAGTAGGGTTGAAGGCAAGACAGTCCAAGGACCTAGGAGAGGGGGAGAGAAACAGCCTCTGGGAAAAAGCGTACCACTTTGATTTGTGGGGCAAAACCTAACCTTCTCTAACCTGTTATCTGGCAGAGGGATTGGACTACAACTCCCACAATTCTCAGCTACATGGCTACAGAATATAGGGGAAGATTGTGTTGCATGATGGACTGGTTCTTCGTGGATAATGCTTATCACATCTACACAAAGGCTCAATGAAGAAGTCCTGCTTGAGAACATCACACCATCATTTTATCTCCTCCAACACAGGTGGCTCTTTAACCAAAGCTTCAAGCTTACTATAAAACCCCCAAAGCCTGATCCTGAGGAGTTAAAAAAACAGCATTTAAACTGGCAAGCCTAGCTTACAAAATCTCTTTTCTGTAAATCCAAACCAACAGCCTTTCTTGGAAGAATGAAGCTAGAAAGCAGAGATGTTGCTGGGCCATTCCTGCCTAGCCTACTGGAGTTCCCGGCATTGTCCACGTGTTCATGGAACGATACTGGATCATGACAAGCTAAGCTCCCAAAATCAATCTGGGTCCTGCTCCAGGTTCATACAACACATTCAACCACACCAGAATTAAGCGTGATGTGCACACCCAGCCACCTTGGATGAAGCGTGAGATATACTTACTTCACTCGAGTGTGTTCCCAAAGGATGCAGCCTGCCTTCCAACATCCCTTCTGCTGAGAAAGCATTAATGGAGATGGAAGACATCAGAAGGTCTTATGAGCATGCACTTACAGTTCTTCCTGCCATTACTGGCTTTTCAAAGAAAAAAAAAAAGTAAACCTGAAACTCCTGAATAATTGAAGCAAAGAGGGGAGAAGTCCCTAAAAAGAATCTCTCAGAGGTTTTTGCTCACCCTGCTGACACTGAGTGACAGAAAGTTGGGGTTTAAATCAGGAACGAAAGGGTGCCTTTGCATAAGATGCTGAACATAGTGCTTTGTGCAAATCCAGCAAGGTAGGTTTGATTTATGGCTCAATGTGATGTGAGCAACCAGTGAATTTGTATACTATGGTTAAGAAATTGTGGATAGGCCTCTTCCCCCCGAGTCCAGCCAAATACGAGAGGTTCAGTGTAATAAAAGGGTGAAGGGATGATTTAAAAGAAAAAACTCTCCCATTTCAGGTCCCTCCCTTACTTGATGAATGTGGTAATGTCAGTAGCTGTATTTACAAAGACCAGAATTGTGCAGACAATACAGCAGTTTTTCCTGCAACACTTTATGTAAGCTAAGAGGGCCGACACTTTGGAGAAGTATGGGAGAAACCTCCTCAGAACACCATGGGTAGCAAAGACAATGAACAAATGGTTATTTAAACAAATCAGCCTCGAGGCACAAATGACCAGCTCAAATTATCCTACTTCGAACACATGATGTGAAGACCCGGCTCTCTGGAGAAGGCTCTGATGCTGGGAAAGGTGGAAGGAAAGAAGAGGATGACCAGCAGCAAGGGGGATGGACTCAGTTATGGTGGCACCGTTGGAAGACCTGAAGGACACAGTTGGGGGCAGATCCTCCCGGAGAAAATCTATCTACATGGTCACTAAGAGTCGATACTGACTTGATGGCATAAAATCAATCAATCAAAATGTCAGTAGCAGTAAAAATACTAAAGGCTCCTTTGAATTGAGCTCCATCCCAGTGACTTCACTGAACCATCCATGGTTTATGGACAATATTATGGGGTGGCCTGCCACTGGCTCCTTTTCTGAGGTTTCTTTTTTCCTTCCCAGGGTAGCCTGGGACTTTCTGATGTTGTCCCCTCCCATTCGTTTTTATGTATTCTCCTGCCTGCCCCTGCCCCCTCCTAACCAGTCCAACCAGGGCTTGGTTCTTTGAGATCAGCCAAGGTCAGCTGGGTGCTGCTCTCTAGCAGGTCAGAGGGGAAACCAAGGTAAAGGCTCTCCTGAGTTTGACTCCAGGTGACTTCACGGATACATTTGCGTGATCCTGACAAAAATACGCACGTGGTTTATTTTGGGATGGCTTTTTTCCAACTTTCCAGCCCAGCCAACGGGATTTCCTGGCGCCCCTCACCTAGTTACGAACCACCCCTGATCTGGCTTGCTTTTGAGATCAGCCAAGGTTGCAATCGAGCAGGACAAAGGAAAAAGAGGTAACAATTTGGAAATTCCCTGGCGGTCTCCTTTCAAAGGCCTCACCAGGCCCCATCCCGTTTGGTTTGCAGGCCGAGAGGAGATTGGCAACTGCTCAGTTGATCTTTTTATTTGTTTTCCTGGAGTTTTGCCAGTTTTGGGTGCCTGTTGCTGTGCTGGGATGGCTGCAGTACAGAAGGATACGGCTGGTAAATCATTTACCTCGCTGCCTAATAATCTGGTAGGTACAGTTCATAATCAACCATTGAAATACAATAATCCTCATCATAAACGCAGCAATCAGTGCATCAAGATACTTTCACTAAATAAACCGATTTAAGCACCTCAAGCTTTCCAGGAGAGGGAAAAGAGGTCAATTAAATGAAAAACAATACCAGTAACATCAGCAACATTAACCCCCCCCCTCCAAGTTGACCTGTTGAATTTTCGCCTCCTGGCAGCAGCTGTTGGGTTTTTTTCAAAAAGAAACCTTTCGGCGAGGCGGGATCTCCGAAACCGAAGAGGACCGCAGCTCTTGACTAAGCCACAATTAGCCGGGTTCACGTGTCGGGCTACATTAAAGAGCAGGCAAATCACATTGCGGCTTAGGGTAATGACCGGATTTGCAAGGCGGCGCATCGG